CCCCCCAGTGCCCTTGCTGGGGACAGGAGCCCTGCCAGTGTTGTCCCCCATGGGAGGAGCTGATTCTGGGTGGTGGGACACGGGCTGATGGGAGTGGGAAGATGCAAGTGATGGAGACGGTCCCTCAGCCTGCAGGGAGGGATGGGGACATGTGTCGGGGCCACCGCAGCCCTGGGACGCCGCTGCTCCTGCCAGCTCCAGCAACCCAGCCCAGGAAAGGGGAGAACTGGGCTCTACCCTCTGGAAAACCCAGGAGGCACCACTTTCCAGAGCCAGCTTTGAGCAAAGACTCCTCAGCCAGATTCATCCGAGGGTCAGCAGGGACTTCACTGGCATTTTTTTAAGGGACATGTGTCGGGGCCACCGCAGCCCTGGGACGCCGCTGCTCCTGCCAGCTCCAGCAACCCAGCCCAGGAAAGGGGAGAACTGGGCTCTACCCTCTGGAAAACCCAGGAGGCACCACTTTCCAGAGCCAGCTTTGAGCAAAGACTCCTCAGCCAGATTCATCCGAGGGTCAGCAGGGACTTCACTGGCATTTTTTTAATATCAGTAATTAGCACGAGTCATTCCAGCTCCCCGGTCTAACGAGTGGCTCGGGGTAATTCCTGCCGGGTGGCTGATGGTTTGTAGCAGTAGATTTTTTGCAGAAATCCCCCCTTTTGAAAATACTTGTTTCAGTCTCTGTACAGTCCCGTATGGAGGTCTGGGGCTCTTCTGCCTCTGACAAAATCCAGGACGACCGCTGAGCACCGGCATCATCCTAAAACCTCTTGAGATGAAGAAATACAGAGCCCGGTGCTGTGACTTGGTCATCTTTCCAGCCAGGAGACTTCAGCCTGACCCGATGGGGAAAGTAAAGGCGTTTAGGATCCTTATTTTCGGGTGAAGGAGGTTTGGCTGTGACTGCTTGTATGTTTTTTTGTGCCCCCAGGTGCTTCCTGGAAGGATTTCATAGAATCAGAGAATGGTTTGGGTTGGGAGGGACCTTGAAGCTCATCTGGTTCCATCTGCCCTGCCATGAGCAGGGACATGTTCCACCAGCCCAGGGTGCTCAGAGCTCCATCCAACCTGGCCTTGAACCCTGCCAGGGAGGGGACAGCCACATCTTCTCTGGGCAACCTGGGCCAGGGTTTCACCACCCTCATGGGGAAGAATTTCTTCCCAATATCTCATCTCAATCTGCCCTCTGTTAGTTTAGAGCTGTTCCCCCTTGTCCTATCACTGCACCTCCTTGTGAAAAGCCCCTCTCCATCCTTCCTGTCGGCCCCTCCAGGCACTGGCAGCTGCTCTGAGGTCACCCCGGAGCCTTCTCTTCTCCAGGCTGAGCAGCCCCAGCTCTCTCAGCCTGATTTTTTTTCTTGATAGTTTTGCTTGTTAAATAATTTTTCCCGTTTCTCCCACGCGGTGCCAGCCCAGCCTGCAGCAAGCTGCTGCGGCAGTGCCCCGTGGCTGATATTGGGGTTTTGTGGCTTTCCTGGACCAGTCTGTGGTCAGTGGTCTTCTCCACGCAGGCACAGCCTGCACCCAGGCGTGGGGCACCCATCCGCGGCAAGGGGAGGGTTGGGGACCATCCTGCTGCCCTACCGGGGGGCAGAGCTGGTGCAGCCCGTCCTCTTTCCCGACCCGTATGGGGCCAAGCTCTTTCCAGTGGTGCCCAGAGACAGGACAAGGGGCAATGGGCACAAACTGAGGCAGAGGAAGCTCCAGCTGAACCCGAGGAAGAACTTCTTCCCTCTGAGGGTGCCGGAGCCCTGGCCCAGGCTGCCCAAGGAGGCTGTGGAGTCTCCTTCTCTGGAGATATTCCAGCCCCGCCTGGCCGCGGTGCTGTGCAGCCTGCTCTGGGTGACCCTGCTTGGGCAGGGGGTTGGGCTGGGGGTCCCTTCCAACCCCAACCATTCTGTGATTCTGTGACCACCGGCTCTTCGGGTGGGATTTGTGCCGGGGCAGCTTGCAGCCCTGCAAGATGCCCCAAGGTGATGTCTTCGTCGCTCCATCCTCTGGCCGAGCACTCGGTCCCAGAGCTGGTTGCCTCCGGCGGGAGCCACTGCTGTGTTTCGGCGACGCCGAAGCTCCTTGTGTGCGTGCGGTGAGAAAAGGAGCCGGGTCCTCTCCTACTGCTCTTACTCACGCTTTCTTTTGCATGCCTCTGCTGAGCTCTTCCCTTCTGTCAACTGCTGATTGTTGGGAAGTGGCGTGGTTGGGTTCTTGTGTTTTTTTTATTTCTCAACCAGCTGCTTTCCGAGGGGAAGGAGCAGCGTAGCAGCATGCCGGCGTGGTTTAGTGTGGTTTTAGTTTTCTTTTTTTTTTTCTCATTAGAAATAATTTACTGGCAACAAAGCCCGTGGAGGTCCGGGAGCCTGGCTCCACTGCAAAGCGGTGGGATGTGAGTTCACCCCTTTATTTCCTTGTGGCACTGTGTGTTAAAACAGCGGAGCAATTCCTGCTTCACGCTGTCGCCTCTGCCCTCCCCTGAAAACCCGAAAACGCAACGCAAACTTGGAGAAAGCAATAGGAAAAAACCTTTCTCCCATTCCGAAGCTGCGAGGGCTGAGAACCGATGGAGGTGAATAATTCATTCCACTAAAAACACGAAAACAACCAAGGTTTCCTTGTCCCTTTCCAGCAACGGAACATGTGAGCGGTGTTTTCCCCGCGCTCCCCATCCCCAGCTCTGCACTGAGCCCGGGGGGCTCTGGTCTCTGCTCCATCCCCACCCAAGGGTAGACCCCCAGGAGGGGGGACCCTCCCCAATCCCGAGCACCCGCTGTGGGGCTGGCGTTGAACAGGAGCAAACTGAAGTCCAGACCTTCTCCCTGAGCGCTCCGACGGAGAACAAGGACCAGGCTTTTCCTCGGTGACTTTGTGAAGACCGCCCATGCTCCTCCTTGCTGTAGACCCCATGCAGCCCAAAGCAGGGCTATGGGGTAATCCCAGAATCTTTGGGGCTTTCCTGCACAGGTGGGCATCGTGTCCGTGAGTGCCAATGCACGTCGGCTTTCCGGCCAAGCTTCGTGCTGGGTCCAGCCCCGCGGTGCTGGGATGGAGCGGCGGGGGGGGGGGGGGTGCCAGGGCCACCCACCCCCGCTGCGGTAGCAGGGTTCAAAGGCTCTGTACAGCCCCGGGAAGCTCTTACGAAACGTGAAATGATTTTCTTGCTGGTCATTTCCTCTTCTTTTGGGGTCGGGTTAAGGACCCCTGCCAGGATGATGCAGTTCTGGTACAAACTATAAATGGATGTTCTGCTTCCTTCTGCAGATCTCTTGGGCTGTCTCCGGTGAAGCATTCAGCAGCAAGACTTGGTGCTTTGAATACTTTCCACTCAAGAAAAAAAAAAGAGTTATTCAGCCAAAAACAGGAAACCCAGGGCCCACAGCAGCCTCGCTGATTTGAGTACACCTGGTCTTATAATGAGCCCGGCAGCAGATACCGACTCCACTGCAGCAGAGGCTCCATGAACCGAGGCATGGGCTGCGGCGTCTGTCTCTGGCTGCTCCTCTCTCTCGGCCGCGTTTGGGGTACGTACGTTTTCCTCTCTGGGAAATGCTCGGTTCGGATCATTTGGGGATTTTTTTATTTTTTTTTTTGTCAGAGACGAAGACCTTTAGAAATCGCGAGCTGTGGGCCGGGCGGACGGGCAGATTGAGTATAAATATTCATATAGAAGATAAATGGCTCGCAACTCCAAGCTGGATGTGTGGTGCATCTCTAATACGCTCCTACTAGTTAGGCTGAGGGAGGAGAGAGTAAAAGATGATGAACGAACAAAAGTGGTGATGGACAAAGTGCAGCTGCAACAGGGAAGCACTCTCCCGTGTGTTTTAATGGGGTATTAGCAGCACCGAGCAAATAATTTAGTACCAGAAGTGAACTGGGGTACTTGAGATGAAGATGCTTGGTGGACTGTATCACTGAGCATCTCGGATGAAGAGGTGCCAGTGGGCTGGGAGATGGTGTCCAAGCAATCAAATGTGTATGAGGTGAGTGGAAAAGGACTGGCAACGGGGCAGTGCCTGTTTTCTGGGTGCCCACAGAGCCCTGGCTGGCTGTGGATGTTGTCCTGGGGACAACGGTGTCCTGGGAGCATCGAAATCCCCACCAGATTACCCAGACCCCCTGGGCTCCTGGCTCCTCTCCTCCCAGCCCGCTGGCAGTTACGGGAGGATGCTGGAAGATGGGTTTCAGTGGCACTGAGCCTGCGCAAAAGCGCTCTGGTGTCTGGACCCCCAACTGGAGCCGAGAAGGGAGCTGTGACCCATCCTGACCCTCTCCTTGGTGCCAGCCTGGTGTCTGTTCCCCTTCCCGGGGGACACCGTGTGTCCCCGCAGCCCCCTGAGCCCTCTGCCACAGCATCTGTGGAATTACCGGGTGTAAAACGAAAGTTTCGGCCAAGCAACCAGCGCCCTTGGCAGAGCTGGGGTTTCTCCTTGGCTCTACTGGCTCGCTGTTACTCGAATACCTGCCCTTAAAATCCCCCGGGGTTTTCTGCCTCGCCAGCACATCGAAAGTCCTGCGAGCCCGATACCTGGCGTGAGGGCTGCTCCGGAGATAGCCCTGCGCCGGCCCGAAGCGCTTGCCTTCCTCCAGCCCCTCCGTCTGGGCTTCGGCGCCGATGGTTTCAGACCTCTTCTCATCCCTCCTCCTGCAGCCTTGCTCCAGCCAAGTCGTCTTTCCCGCAAAGGAGATGCTCCTCGCCGGGGCCAAGGGATTTTTCTAATGTGATGTAAAAAGGGCTTTTCCATTTGGCAACTAATGAGGAGCTTAACCACTGCAAGTCAAAAGCACATGTTGCTGAGAAAATACAGCAGCCGCCCGCGCGCTGGGCTTGACGATAAATGTCTCGGCAGAAAAACGGCCGAGGCACTCCCTGCGTCAGCCGGACCCTGGGATTTCTGAGGGATGGAGGCCGTGTCCACACGGCTGCTTTGGTGCTGGGGAGATGCAGTCCACAGGCACAGCTCCAGCTGCTGTGTTTCTCGCCACGGAGTGTGGATAAAATAAGCGATGGCACCTGGGGAGAGAATTTGCTGTATGGTTTTTGCTGGAACCATGTGTGCGGCAGGAGAGGCAGATACTGGGCGTACGTGGGCCTCCTCAGACCTGTTCTGCTGGGGTAGCCCCCCCTTTTTTCTCTTCCCCTCTGGGGCAAAGCCTTGCCCTGATGGAAAGAAGTCAGTAGGAAATGTGGGGGTGACATGGTGGGGTCCCTTCCACGCTAGCAGCGGTGAGCTGGCACCCCTCCCCACCCCGTTTCCTACAAAAACAAACTTGTTTGCCCGGGGACGGGGGCAAATATGAATCATTGCCTCGCAGCAGAAGACAGGAAAGGGCTGGGGGCAGAAGATCCTCCTGTGTCCTCTCCAGGAAATGCAGGGGGTTGAGATGCTTTGGGACGCGTGGGAGATGCTTGCACCCCTCTTCTTAAGAGCGCTTTTCCACGGCCGCCAAGAAACAGACCTGGGACCACCTGGAGCGGGAGAAGGAAAACCTGGGATTTACCCCCGAACCCACCTCCAGGAGGCTGTGCCTCCTGGAATTTCTACAAGAAAACCTCCACCGAAGGTTTCTGAAGCTGAGGAGCTCGAGGGAGGTGGTGCCATGGTGTGCACCCAACTGCAGGCTTTGGCCAAGGGCCACCAAGCATCACTTCTCTCTAGACTGCCTTGGTGTCACCGGGACTTCTCCAGGCTGGTCCCACCACTGCCAGCACCCTTCTCCCAGGACCAGCATCCCCACTGAAATGGGACCACAAGCGCCTTCCCCTGGTCTATGGAATGATGCTTCACCGTGCTGGCTGGCTGTCGTTGGGCCAACAGAAAGCCCAGAGCCTTAAATCAGGATTCGGCCATCTTGCACTGTGGTGCCCAAAGTGGGAGAACGCTGAGGCTGATGCGAATGAAGACTCTTTCGCCTTGCTCTGGGTTAGGCGAGGGAGTGGAGCAAGAGCAAAGGAAGGCAACGCTTCCCCCCTCCAGCCTCTGATCCCAGCCCTTGACCTGCACCCTTCAGGGTGGGGGACGCGGGGCTGAGGGCTGGGGTCCCTCCTTTGGTTCTGGGGACAGTTCTGTGGGGTGGGCATGGGACAGAGCTCGCACCGAGGCCTGCTGTACAGTTTGGCTTCAGTTCCCACCCGCCGGCGATTACTAACGCAGGATGTGGTGGATAACACAGAGCTTGGAAATGTGGTCAGATAATCTGTTTAATTGTTGGCCGATGTATCTCACGCAACCCAAGCCGCCCCTACTCTGTGGATTACGAGGGTGGGTCCAATGCCGTTGCCAGCCACTGCAGCTCCGTGGGCGTCTGCCCTGCTCTGGTGGAGCCAAGATGGGGAGGGGACGGTGCTCCAAGCCCCCTGTGCCTCCCTGCCTGCCTCAGCCCTTCTCTCTGTTCTCCTCCCAGGCATGGGCCGTGGGGCGAGGGAGACGGTGCTGGGCACCTTGGGGAAGGCGACGATATTGCGGATCCCCCCTAAGCTCCAGGACCTCACCCTGACCTTCAAGGTGGCTGTCTGGAAGCGGGACACGGAGGACCCACAGAAGAAGCTCATCCTGCTCAAGTACTCGGATGGCAACTACACCAACTACATGGAGGAACGGACTCGCTTCCAAAAGATGGACTTCTCCCTGGAGATCCTGAACACCAGCCGGGAGGACAGGCAGCTCTACGAGTACATCGTCACCAAGGGGTCGGAGGAGGAAGTCTGGCAGATACAGCTGGAGGTGTACGGTGAGACATGCTGCTTTGGGAGCACCGTGCTGGATGCTCCCAGACTCTTGCGGTGCTGGGAGCAGGTCTGGGAGGTGGGTGGTGGTCAACGGGGGTGGGAGATGCCCACCCTAATGTCAAGGTGCTGCAGTGAGTCCAGGACCCTCTTGCAGCCCCATCTAGGTATCCCCAGGAGCCTTTGGGTGTGTGTAGACCACGTCCCTCTTTAATGCTGTTTGCACAGGGTCCGGGGCCAGACCGGTTCCTCTCCATCTCCTGGGGACTTGGGAGAGGCCAGTAGGATTTCCCAGGCAGGAGCCAAGGTAACGTTCACCTCCTTCCCCAGACACAAACCTTTGTCCCCTCCCTCTCTCCAGAGCCGGTGTCCGATCCCAGCATCCAGATCCTTGGCTGGTCGCTGGCCAATGGCAGCTGCACCTTCACCCTCAACTGCACAGCCGAGCGAGGGGACAACGTCTCCTACAGCTGGGCCAGCTGGGACGCCAGCACCTCGGGGCTCTGCTCCCACAACGGCAGCGTCCTGCACGTCTCCTACTCCCCGCAGCACACGAGCATTGCCTGCGCCTGCACGGCCACCAACCCCGTCAGCAGCCACGTCGA